CAGCTACTTCCATATGCCAGAGTCGGAGGTTGAGAGGCGGACTGAACTGCAAACGGAAAGAATCGACCATCTCAGAAATGAAGACCTACTTCTCAAAAACTGACGCGGACAGTGACAGCAAAAAACAGAATACTTTCCTTGACTTAGACAAGAGGCATCCAAAGGCGTGTTTTGCAATTTTCCATGTCAGTTTTACAAGCTAGGGCGTCCACCAATGATTGGGGTCGAAGATAGATGTGCTTCATTACAGACATGCCCCACGACATCCCATGTGCGTACTGGGGACAACCTTGGCCAGGAAAAAACCTAAGTTGATGTACGAGTACTTCAAGCATCTTAGCGGTGATGTGTTTATGCGTGCCGTTGGGAAGAAGAAACTTGCTAAACTGGGTTTTGGACAATTTTTCTGTCTTTTTTAACACCTTCCATGCGACTGGCAACTAGTCATGAATTCTATTGGGGATTTGAGGGTGGTGCAAAGGCATGTTGCTTTCATATCCTTGCAGTTCGGTATCTCAAGCAATTTGGCTTGCCTCAACAGGAATTCAAGCTTGAATTTCGATGCATGCAGACGCAACTCTGGCCTGTATCCACCATGCAACCTCGAGTCCTTGTTGGCTACTAGCAAAACTGGTTCGAGCTGATTTTTGGAAGGGCAAGTCGCACGTACTTGCAGAACTGATGCTAGGCGGTGCACTTGACTGAATCGACACTTGAAGGAAAGAGTCTGAAGCGACTCTGGACAATGGTTCTTCTACAGCAATTGGTAAACAAAAGTTTGATGATCCTGGACTTGGCCAAACGAATTTAGAAGCAGTTGTGCGGCTGTGAGTGTGTATAAAGAAGCTGCATGTTCACACATACACCCACACAGACACTATATAAATTAGAAGTCTATATAAACATTCAATATATACTGTATACGTGTATATGATTAGAGGAGCAGGAGGAGGAGGAGGAGGTTCTGAGGTTATTGAGGCTATTCTCATTGCAATTTCTTTAGGAAGCTCTCATCAGATGGAAAAGCTCACTCTTCTTTTGCGCTGTCCCAGCTTTGTTCGAGTGTGGGGTTCCCAATCTTTCAAGAACCCACGGAGCCCGCAGTGAGGCAGCTCCGCAGACTGCGGAGGTGTGGTCTGCAGTGGGGTTTGTGGCCAATCTGGTGATAGAAGTTGCAACTTGTGGCTCTTTGGTACATGGTACATTGGATCCAACCTGGAAACAACACGAGAAGTGAAGTGGAACCAAGTGTTTTGGGCCTTTCAGCCAAAGTGATGTTTGCGCATGGCTTTTTAGTTCCTTTTGGGTCAGGAAGATGGGCAACTGCCGTGCACTCAGGACGCCGGGTCTGTCCCTGGATGTTCAAACTGAAGGAGTCCGACCAGGTTTCACTGGGTTTTCATTGACCTGAATCACGACTACAAAGAGGACTCAACGGTGTTGAGATAAAGCCGGGGACCCGCTGGACCGCCGAGGCCGCTACCGCAATGGCCAGTTGAAGTTTGTGGTCATGCTGGGACCTGAGCAGCTGGGTCTGGCTCATGCTGTGGCCGCCACACCAGGCGATCTGAAGGAATCCCACTAAAAAGCGATCTATTGGAATCTATTTGGGGCGAATCTATCCATTCATAGCGCAACTATTTGAATCCGTCCAAGCCACTTGCGAATCTTGTTGAGCAGTGGATACTATCCATTCTACTATCCGTCGCATTTGGATGTTTTTTCATTTTTCCATATTCTAGCTACTCCAAGATGACTGCAACTCTTGGCTGGAGTCCTTTTGGCCTTTGTGTCCTGCATCCCTATTAGGTTTGTTGTTTGTAAGGGGGGACCATATCGAGTGTCTTGTCTTTGCGTTGCGTTGCTGAGCAGATTTGTTCAACAGCTACAAGCTGTGAATCTTTGCATCTTACCCAATACAGTGTCTTGGTTTGCCAGGTTTTCTGAAAACAGGTGGAAGACGGGTACGCTAAGGGCGAGAAAGTAGATGAAGATCTAGACGGTACTGAAGAGGGGCTCATGTTTGACCAATTTCAACAGAGGCCACTGGCCAATAGAAGATCCACTTTCTTCCCTTGTAAACTTGTATGAATCCACTGATCCACCACCGGCCATCTTCCCTGGTGACTCTACAGATAGTTATGCATTTCCCGACCTGCCCACGACTTTTTGTCCAGTGCTCAATGAATCTGCCCAGACGTCGAAGGCTTCGGATGTACCGCCCCCGTCGTCCCGCGCCCTCCGCGAGGATGCGAAAACATCCCTTCACGAAAGAGGTCTACGGCTCCAGATATGCTGGTCCGCCCGGCTCAACGACCGGCGATCCGGGTATCGGAGGATCCATGAGTTCATATCGCCAGATCGCATGTGCATTGTCTGGTAGCGTGATTTTTTTTGGTGTTCTTGAATCTTGGTGCTTGGTTGCTAGCTGTTGACACTTTCTGGATTCGTGGGATTTTGGGTCTGTTCTTTCATATTATGAGGTGAAAGCCTCGAAGAGGCTGAGCTGCCCCAGCACTCCGTCCGGACGCGTGAGGCTTGCAGGACACAACAAAGCACCCTCGACAAGCCAGCCGGGAGGGCGCCGGAGTGGTGACCGAGCCGAGTTCGGCGCGCCAGGTGCTTCGTTCGGACCCCCTTTTTCGGGGCTCGATCTGAGAAGCACTTCACCCAAGAACTGTTTCAGCTGGAACATCGCCCTTTCGAAGCGTCCTGGTCGTCCGGCCATTCGTCCTGGTCGTCTGCCGTCGTCCGCCAGAAAACCCCGAGTGGGTCCAGATGCCTGGTGAGCAACGGCTCAAGAGGCAGTCAGGGGACCCGGAGTTCGCTTTTTTCGACCAGTGGAGCAAAGGCATGTCGTCACAGGGTCCTTGACAGTCGCCTGAAAGGGTCTCTTTTTGTGACACATCGCGTCATACAGTGTTTTAATTGGTCGAATTGATCGAAAAGTATTCCCATCTAGTTGGGGTCTGAGCACATGGTGGGTGTGAGAAGCAGCACCTGTTCTTCAACAACAGGACCCATGTTTTGTAATATATGTAATATACTGTATGTCTATGGAAACTAAATGTCATGAAACAACAACATGTTCTTTGGGAGAATGGTGTAAATTCTGGCAATCCCTGAATCTGCTCCCGGAAGATCAGCAGTGACCAGCATTTGTGCTTTGGGGTGCCACCCAGAACGCTGGGATATTTGCATGCACTATGCCTCACTAAACGCCCCGCTCTACCATGGTAGTACCAGTGACCAGACCAAAGTGGGCCAAGCTAAAGATGCAATGCTGCAAGACCATCAAAAAAGGAAATATCCGCCAGTAGAGCATTGTGCATTGTGCATTTCCCAGCCCTCACCAGGTATGATTTCCACAGTCTTCCCAAAGACAACTGCCCCGTTTTGAGATGTAGCCCGCTATACTGTCATAGAGTCCACTTGGGTCCATTAAGTCATAAGAGCACAATAAATTATAAAGATAATTTATCATAATTCATCAACTTCAGTAATCTTGAGTGTACATCAATCTTGAACGGCCAAGGAAAGAGCGCGCACGGGAGCTCGAGCGCAAGCTTCGACTGGAAGCAGAGGTCCTGTGTCATGCATGACCTGCGACTGGTGATGAAAGACTCGTCTTGTGGCATGTGATGGGCATCCTGCACGAATTACTGCATACTATGTGGCAGGATACTGTCAATAGAGTCTTGAATGAATGACATACCAAAACCAATATTGGTATTTTTTTGGAACGACACCAACTAAAACACCTGTGAAACGCTGACCCATGCTGACCCGTGCATTTCACACCCACATGGTCCATTTGGCCCCGCCCAGACCCGGTCGACCGGGCACTCGTTTCAGCCAGCTCCACCAGGAGCTTCGCATGGAGAAGCTCCAAAAGATGGGTGTTTGGCCCGGCTCCCCGGTCTTCGCCCCGCTCTCCGCTCTCCGCTCTCCGCTCTCCGCGCTCCGTGGTGTTTTGTTCGACGGGAATTGGGGAGAAAGGAGCTTGAAAGCCCTGATGACTTGCCTCGTTGCATTGGTTTGCCTTCCAGAGACTTATGCAGAGCTCTCCGACCAAACCGGGTATGTACCCGGATCTGTCGTCGGAGTCGCTCCTTCCACCTGCCAGGTCTGGCGCACTCGCCTCGTTTGCGTCCCGTCGGCTCCAGGACGGGCAATCCCGAGTGGCGCAAGGCCACCGTCCCCGAGCGACAGGCCCGGCGGGGGACCGTGGCGCCGTGGTGACGTGATGCGTCCGGAGCGTCCAGGGAGAGGACACATCGGCAGCGATCTCGAAACCCATCGGAGTTCGCAGAGCGATTTCAGACAGCTTTTGAGTGTTTTTTTGGGAAGTCTTGTTGTGTGAAAGAGCAAATTTGAGCCTTGATTTCGACCTGCTGTAGAGGCGATCTAGACACATACAGAAAACCAGTGATGCTCTGCGGGAAGATTCATGTCTGGAGAAAACCATCACTGGAAACCATGGGTAGGACCAGGCATACCTCTTCCCATATTGAGTTAAAACCAAGGCAATGGGACACTGTTGATCACTGTTGCACAAGATGCACTTTAGAATCATTTGCGAAGATTTGTCCGTGAGTTGAAACTTGAACCCTTGAAGTGAGAGGCATGTCAACCCACGGTCTTTAACCACGACTTCATGGTGGGTTGTCATATCTTGAGAATCGCCTGTTTTGTTCCTACGCTGGTGCCCCGTCCAACTGAAGGATCGTTGGGGGCCGCAAGGACGATCAAACAGGATCCCGGGGGCGATTATGACCGTCCATGTCAGGAATCCCGTGATGTTGCTCCCCTTTGGCTCAAAAGGATCTCTATATATATATATATACATACATACATATATAAAATATTATTGTTTTTGTCACAAACCATGGGGCAAGAATGACACACAGATGAACGAACGTCGAACAGAACTCCCTGCAGACGAGCGTTGCTGGGCACTCAGTCCAAGTGTTTGCACAAGAAAACATGTTTTGAATTGTGCGGCAAAGACATTCTTGCGGACTGGCGCAAACTTATAGCGACCATGGAAGAAAGAAGTGCCTTGAAAGAGAAGCTGAGTGGCTATGAGGCATCCTTGGCCTAGTTAACCACAGAGAGCTGACAGACAAAAGCAATGAAACTGGCCTTGAAGTGTCTCAAATCTGGTAGACTGGGATGACACCAGTTGCTCTAGGTGTTCTGCTTGTTGCTTCTTACATTTCTACTTTGACTTGATATGATAAGGAATATGTATAGGAATTACGATTGACCCTTTTCTGGTTGAACTGTAAAGAGCAGGACAACGTTTTTGAACAGATTTGCAGAATGCTATTGTGCTCAAAGTCAGGTCTTAGTCTCGTACCCTTCTTTTGTTTTCTACCTGTCTCTGACCGGCAAAGCTCGAGCCACTGGGAGTCAGCATGTGGTCCGTGCATGACTAGGATGACCTTACGTAAAGGGGTACAATGGTATGGATTGATGCCTGATCCTCCGATGTCCCTCCTCTCGGCAGCTGATCGAGGTGTGCGAGGAGCTCTCGAGCAGCGCCTGGCTTCTTGAGCGCAAGGGTGAGGAGGCGGCGGCTGTACTGGCGACGGAGGTCTTCTTGGGGAAGGAGAAGGCGGACTTGGAGATGCTTGGCTTTGAGAATATGGATCTTGGATGATCTAGAAGCAGAGACATAAAGAACCAACTGTCCAAAAGAAAGTTCTTTGGTTTCATAGATCTTTGAGGCTTTTGAATTGGCAGAGCTCTAGGGATGTTTGTTTACGGGGGGAGTTCGTCAGGCACGTAAGAACCAGCTTCCCTTGGGCCCAACTGGCTCGTCAACGAATGTCTCCCCAGTCTTGAGCTTCCCATAAGTGCAAGTGTTCGTCTGAGGTTGAAAAGATGTAGTCCCATAAGATAGCATGCATGTTTGGTCTATTGAGTCTATTGGTGTTGCCGATATGTAGCATTGACCATTTTGCACACCTCGACATGCAAGAGTTTTGGAATTGCCACCTAATCTCACACAACCAATCGAGGTCACTCATCGGCAAGGCCTTACAATCAGAAGGCAGCAGTGGATGGTTTTGCAATGACCGATACCACAAGCAGATGACCAAGGGCGCAGCGGATGTGTGTGTTGAGGCTGATCGCTCAGTGGATTATGATTTCATCAGCATCCGCCGCAACACTAACAGCTGTACTTGATTTGCCCAGCGAGATCCCACAATCCAAGAGACCCTGAGGTCATCATGCCAGCGACAAAGAAAGACATTGAGAAGCGCAGGAAGGTGGTGCTACAGCGCATTTGCGAGACGCGTCAGCTCTATGATGCTGCCTCTTGGACCCTTTAGGGTGTCGTCTCGATGGAAGACCTCTTCTTTCCAGAGAAAGCCTTTTGGCAAAGAAATGAATTTCCTTGCCCAGGTAGGGATTTTTCCGGTCCTTGAAATCACGGAACAAACATATTAAGCTTTGTGGCTCTGCAGAATCGGAATCATGGCGCCGACGGCGAGATCTTCCATGGCCGGAAGCACAAAGGATAGAAATGATACCGACTCCCGAAATCGTGGAGTCTGTCGTGGCTGACCACGTATGGCCTGCCACATGCATGCTCCAGTAACCAGTAGACTTATAGATTGATTATTGTCTAAGTTATAGATTCCTCTCCTTTTCTCAAGCTTCTTTAGCTTCTCCTCTTTCACGCCTCCTCTCCTAAAAAACCTCGTCTACGAGGTCACAGTTCCAAGCACCTTAGAGGGGGCCGACAAGCGTGACACCTGGGTGGCCAACATCATCCATGGCCAGTCGGAGCAAGAGCATGTGGTCACTGAACTCTCCGGCACCCCGGTTTTGTTCGATCGATCGATCAATCGGTGCTGTTCGGCCGCCCAACGTGGTGAATTGGCCGCGATCGATCGATTCGGGGGTCGAACGACCGCAGCTGTGGAGGATGGGAGGATGTCCGGTTGAGCAGCTGGCAGGGTCGAAATTCGGCCAACGGCATGTTCACCGGTTCTCGCCATGGAAGTCTTGTTATATAATTCCGTTCTTCGCGGCGAAAGTGATTTGGCCGGATTTCTAGATAAGTGAGCAAAGGATCCTGGTTGCAGTTGAAGATCGAGCAAACACCTAGCTGTACGAGCAAAGGAATCGAGTTCAGGAGGCCAACAAACAAGGCGACGTCGTCGCTCTGTGAAACGAAGGATGGACTCCATTCGTGTGGCGTCAGCTGAGGAGATGGACTTGTGGTGGTGAAGGACTATAAGTGGCAAAACACCGAAGTGGCTGCCCGAACAAACGGTTGTTACTACAAGTAGTTGGCCTGCCCTTTTCTGCACTTTCCAAAGTGGCGTAGTTTTTTCGTATTCTCTTCAAAGAGCTTGATAGATGACTTTAAAGGTGCAGCCGCAGGTGGCTGGGACCTCAGTAGCAAGGACCTCTTGCACTCCTCCGCTTTGCTTTTTACTCGAAACCACCATGGTTTCGATTCTTTGCTGTGGTAGCTCACAGGTCGCTGCACCTGAGGTTGATGACTTGTACTACTTGTGCTTGTTCTCCGACATGGGTGTCCGGTCTCTGCGGGATTTGCGAGCCACGCATCTGCCGCTCCTCCGGCGGATTCAAGATGTCGTGGTCCCAGGGCTGGCCGAGAAGCACGGAGCGTCGGCCTCGTCTTTGTTGGCCTATGCAGCTCGTTATTTCTAGCAGATCCCAGTATTTTGTCTACCTTCGATTCCACATGCAGCGGTTCTGGACGTAAACCCACACATTGATGCAACCCGAATTCCAAGTAGTAAAACGAAGCTACTAGTAGCAAAGGGCATCGCTACGAACGTAACAAAGGGCATGACTACTAGTAGTTCAACAGCTTCCCCCCCCAGCGATTCTCGAAATCTTGTTCTTATTTGCTGCCATCTTTCTTTTCGGAACGTGCTCACATGCTACCTTTCGTCCATCTCCACCTCTCAAGTGGACCGGTGCAACGGGCAGTGCTTGGTTATCTGCCAAGAGTGGTGCCACCATGAGCCATACCTCTTTGAACAGGACCGTTTTTCCTAGATTCAATTGACAACCTCCCTTCAGGGTTCGTTGAATCTTGGAGACGACTCAAACAAGACTTGGCCAAGCGACATGCCCTGATGAGGTACATTACCATCCGACGTTCTGGTATTTCCATGTTCACATTGTGAATTCTCGCCACGCGATGTTTCAGAATGAGAAGTCCTCCGAGAATTTGCTGCTGATTGCCATGGACCGATATCACAAGTTGCAGACGATCATCGCGCTGTTGATGGCACAGGACACTTATTTCGCTGGCGCAGAATTGACCGTTCTGCTTCCTCCTCACAAAGCTGAGACCTATTTATCAGCCTAGGATTGGCTGAGATGTGTATGCCAGTGGAAAAAGTATGGAAGAATGGTTCGGCTCGGGTACTTTAAGCGCAAAGCCACCCCAAACGGAGGGTTTTTGAGGAGCCAGGTTTTCATGGTGGTATGGTGGGTGGTACCGGTCCTTCAATCCTGGCCCCCCTTCAGGCCATTCAGGTGATCCAGAACCACCCAATTAGGAGAATCAGTGGCACCATGTGGAATTGCTCCTGCCCTAGGGGACAGAAGGTTTGACAGGCAGATCGAAAGGAGCTTCAATCACCTACACATGATTGTCCAATCCAAGAAAGTCGATGTGGGAAGTCCCGCTTCTGATCAACACATCCACTTCGGTTCCTGTAGAATCCCGGTCGATCCACATACTTCATCAACACATGGAAGGCGAAGCCCGCATTTGGGTACGCATTCCCAGAGCATCTCAGAGCATCCCTCACATCATCGGCGAAGATGTCCCCTAAGTCATGGGCTCGAAGGTAGTGCGGGCTTTCTGAAAGATCAATGATATAGGAACAAAGTCCTATTCCGCAACTCACCATTCTTCTGAAACTTTTCTTCTGCAACTAGTTGGTACTCTTCCGCAACTACTCTTCAGAAACTTTTCTTCAGAAACTGTTTCGCGATCTTCAGAAACTATTTCGCGATCTTCAGAAACTATTTGGCGATCTTCAGGAACTATTTCGCGATCTTTAGAAACTATTTCACGATCTTCATAATTTATTTCGCGATCTTCAAAAACTTATTTGCATGCTTTAGAAAGTATTCTTCAGAACTTTTAATACAATATTGTAATCAAATTGCATGAAGGAGCACTGGGTGGGTGGGGGGTGGATGGGTAGGTGGGTGGGTGGGTGGGTTATTGACGTACCTTGTGATGGCCGCGGTATATAGTATACTGTATACATGCCTATTTTACGATCTGCAGAAACTTTTTTGTGCATTCTTGATGTTGCTCTTCGACTCTTCGTCGTTTCCGAACATTAGTTTCTGAAGAAATCCGTAGAGTTTCCGAAGATTAGTTTCCAAAGAATAGTTTCCGAAGGAAGCCTTAAAGTTTCCGAAGATCACTTTTGAGTTGCCGAAGATTAGCTTCCACAGAACAATTTCCGAAGAAAACCGTGAAGTGTCCGAACAAAACCGCGTAGCTTCCGAAGGTTAGTTTCCGAAGATTAGTTTCCGAAGAAAGCCGTAAAGTTTCCGAAGATCACCTTTTAGTTTCAATAAAACTTTGACCAATGATATAGAGTCGACTGTTAGAGTATCCGAAGGGACTGTCGCTGTTTCACCCATGGCGTGTGTTTGCGGGGTTTCTTCTATTTTCCACCCGCAGGTTCGCTGGAAACCGCGTGGGCGAAAGGGCAGCCGCGGCTGAGGGAGCTCCACGCATTTCTGGAGCTTCGATCAGAAAGGGCGAAGTGAAGAAGAGTTGGGTGGTGAAAGGGCAGGGTAGACCATGATCATGAGAGGTTAACTGGCGATCCTCTCCACCCGAGGGCCGGAATAGCAGACACAGCCAAGCACTGGAGCACTTGGGCTCTTGGGACATCCAAAGATACACAATATACATGAAGCAGGTTGGAATGTTCCGAACACATTTGTTCGACGTCTAAGTTCATCCAGACCACCAGGTTGAATTTGTTCAGTTTTGCAGCTCCATTTTGGGGAATCGTTTCTTTTCAATCTTGGCCTTTCCAAGCCACACGAGATTACTGGCAGGCTTTGAGCACTGTTGCTTGAGATGATTTGGGTCTTTGTTTGATCATCTGATCTCAATCTCGCAATTATGATTACCGTATGACTCTTCATTTAATTTGGTGTCTTGTCCGCTATATAAAGCTCCCTCATTGGGAAAAACACAGGGTGTGGGAAGGGTATATAAATCATAGGTTCCAAAAGCATGTGCCACCTCAGGTGGAGGATTTCCATCATCATCCCTCCATGATGAAAGCAGTTCTTTCACATCCAGAAACCAGATTCATGGAAGCCCCTCAAGAGCCTTGAGATCCGACGACCCTGTCTGCAGCCAGAGCTCAGCCGGACCCAGCCAGAGCTCAGCCCGACCCTGTCTCAGTGCCTCCTCAAGGTGGGGACATCCTTGGAATGAATGCGGCGAGGAATTGATGTTTGCTTGACCTGGAATGAGAAAACTCCAGGGCAGTTGCAATTCCAGAATTTTCAATGACTCCAATGAAAGGGCTTTGGACATGTGCGACTAAAAATGTTTACTTCTAGGAAGTATTGGGTGGTTCACCTGAAAAGTCAGAGCACTGGAAGCGCTGGGGACATGTGCGACTTCCGCTGATATCGTAACCTTTGAACCTCAGAATCCTTCAAACCAACCACTTCGAATGGCTGATGGCTGATTTCAAGGGCGATTCACTAAAGTCACTAAAGCTTCGGAATTCTGAGGTGATCTGAGATCATTTGATCTTACTAGTAACAAGTGCATCGCTACTAGTAACAAGTGCCTTACTAGTAGTAACAAGGACGCTACTAGTAACAAAGGGCAAGCAGAGTCATTTGATTCATCGCTGATCGATTCTTCGTCGAGAGGGGGGCGACCCATGTCGACCCACCTCTCGCACCTGGAGTCGGGGGCATTCTCGCCCACTTCTCAGGAGTGGCGCGGACTTTTCAGATGAGAACATGTCATATTATAGATGGTTGAAGGTGATGCATCCAATATCGCATATCGATTTGGTCTCCCATTCTTATTTTTTCAGGTGCTTATATAGTTGTTTCAAAGTTTCATCTTCGATTTGTCCCAAGAGTGGACTTCAACTGCGTTTTTTTGCTGTTTCACCTGATCTTCCTTTTGGGCAGAGATGGAATCAAATTCACTTCCCTGATTCGGCAGGAGCTGGAACTCCACAACACGCAGCTGAGGCGGCGGAAGATTTCGTCGAAAACATTGCGGGAGGAGGGGGAGGAAGGGGAGGAGGAAGCCCCTCAAAGGATCAGAGGCTCGAGGGGTTGTGCATGATTTGTTTTGCATTTGATGCTTTCGTCCAGTTCCACCACCTACCTGTAGGGTCTTTTTGATCGGTTTTGAAATTTGCGAGGCTGGTGCGGGAGCAAACCGCCAACTGCATCAAGGATATCAATGCTCTTCGTGCCGAGGCCAGTATGTATATTATAGCAGAAGTGGGTCAAGCTTCCCCACAGTGGGAAGTGAAGATCAGAAGATCCCGTTGCCCATGTAGATATCCATACTGCTGTTCTGCAAAGAGAAACTGCATGACCTACTAACAGGGAATTGCAACAATCCCGTGTGTGCAATCCCAAGAAACAATGGTGGTTGCATTACTGATTTTTGGGCAACTCACAAATAGCCTTACCACTTGCTGAAGCACCTACATTGGCCACGGTTGCGTGCAAAATTATTCGGAGACCATATTGCCAAACATAGGATAGCCGGTTTTCATCCATTGGAGCAACACCGGATCAACTCCTGATGCAGTCTTGTACGTATACATGAGCATCGTCAGCGAGCGTTCTTGAGGTGATGCTGCTGAAGTCTGAGCATGAGTCCGACCGCAACTGGGCGCAACTTCAGTTCGCTACCAGCTTTTTGTATTGATTTCCATGTGCAGCTGATTGATGTAATGTAGACTCTTGATTGATAAAACCCCCATATGAATGGATTTTACCATGCATCCAAATGGGTGACCATTTTCCTCAACAAGCAGGCGGTTTCCACTTCCATGATTATTTCAGGGAGTACACTGATTTCACACATTGTTCCGAACAAGAGTTGGCAGGTCGCTCGAAAGCCGCAGTTCCCACCACATCAACTCTCATGGCCTTCCCTGAACTCACAATGGCAGGATTGAGCGCCAGTGCCACTGTGAGCCATGCATGCTTGCGCTTTCGCCACTCAAAAGCTTTTGCCTTTTTCTGAAGATGACCTAAGCCATCCTAAGCCCAGTTTGGTGAAAATACAGTCACCAAGACCCGGCAGCAAGCCCAGTCATCAAATCATTCGCTTTGACACCAGGCCCAGTGAACGGATGCTGAGTTGCCTCGCTCATGTCCACGTACCCACGGCCCCCTTGACCCGCCAGGCCATCGCGTTGGAAGGGAAGCAGGTGGAAGCCTTGGTGCGGTTGCCTGGTCGATCGTTGCGAGTGGCGGGTTCGGTGTGATGGGATTTTAACCCCCCAGCCTTCTAACCCCAGCCTTCTTGTTCCAAGGTCATCATGGAAACAGTTTCGAGGATTGATTTCTCTTCTGCTTCTCTTATCCGTCCGTCATATCATCTTATCATTCTCTTTCAGAATGGGTGACTTTTGTTTGTCGCAGGAGCACTTCGAGCGGGAGAAGCGGGAGCAAACGTCACTGATGTCACAACTTGCGCACAAGGCGCAGAGAGCAGCTGACCCTTACTGGGAGGACGTTGGATGAAGGAATCTCCATCAATCAGGACCTGAGCGTCGCCCAAGGCTGCTGATTGTTTAGGCGGTGACAATCTGCGCCTCCCCCCCCCTCTGCTCTCTGCTCTCTGCTCTCTGGTCTCTCTCTCTCTCTCTACCTCTCTCATTGCTTGTTATGCAGAAACAGGAATGGTATAGGCATAGGTGTGATCAATCCAAGAAAAGTGTGTGTTTGTGTGCTTTTGGCCTTTTCTGGACGACAACTATTTTCTTGGGTGAGTGTTGCTGGACCCGAGAACAATGACTAGTTGGCAATGTCACATGCAAATCATGCAACTAGAGCTCATGCACTACCTCACAGCATTTCGTCTCATCGATTTCCCAACGTTTGGGTAGTTCTCAAGCTGCAGCAATTGATGACAGTTTCCACAGACAGCTGGGACGCAACAGCCGCATCCTCACAAAGGTGGTTTCATTTTCCTTCGGCCTCCTTTCTTCTTCATTCTTCTTCATCATTGCCATCCCGCCCAGCTCCTCGACCGAAAGCGTAAACATGCCCTTGACCCCCTGGCCCACTAGCAAACATGATCCCCACCCGCATCCCGGTCTCCCGCTTGCAGTGCCAGACAGCCCTCCCAGTCTGCCCTC